TTAGCGTTAATGTCCATGTCACCAACAACTCCACCAAGACCGTCAAGAAGATCAAAGTTTCTGGTAGGAAGTGAAGAATAAGGGCTGTGGAATAGGAATTGTGGGCGGCTGGAATGGGAGGGCACTGACTATAGAAGAGATATTTGGAGGGAACCCTAAGATTTTGAGGAAGACCCTGACTGGGACAAACTAGGGAATGTTGAGGTTGTAAGGGGATTCATGTGTCACGGTAGGAGTGGACCAGAATATGGGAGAACTTTAACATACTGGGCTGAGGACCCCTATTATAAGGGTGATGGATCAGAGAGGCAAGGAATTTGGGAGACATGGATAAAGGATGGATCTGGAATGGAGAGGGGTAGAGGGAGGGCTGTGAGAGTGGGGGATTACAAGCTGTCTCCCCATCTTTTGGGGATTCTATGACCCAACTTCTTTTCCTGTCCCTCACTCCCATTCTTTGCCTGGTGCTTTCTGCTGGTGATTCACCTTTTCTCCACCACAGTGAGACAGTATGCTGATATCTGCCTCTTCAGCACTGCCCAATATAAATGTCCGGTGGCTCTGATAGAACAAGAGTGAGTAATGGGGCCCTCCCCAGTGGCCTGTTTCTTGTGGGGGAAAGGAGAGATGACAAAGACCAAGAAAGAATTCTCCAGGCTGGGTGGGAGAGGGAGGGACTAGTTTATACCTAGAAAGGGGCAAGGAGTAATATAATCTTCAGTCATCCATCCAGTCTCTGCTTTGAATATTTTCAGTGGTGGGGAGCTCACAAGGTAACTGCCCTAATTTCTAGAAAGTTCTTCCTTAGAGCAGATACCTTGTTCCACTGTAACTACTACTCACTAAAGAATGGTGACTAGTGTCAGATAAGTAAATTTTAGTGGCAGTTTGGGACTCTGAGAGTTGGAGTCAAGCTGTGTTCTCCTCTCCAGCCCCAACATCTCTTACTAAATGACCACTCCTTCTCTTTTCAGTGACCAGGTGTCTCCCAGTTCCACATTCTGTAAGGTGTATAATATAACCCCACTGCTCAGTGAAAATAGGGAGAAACGAGGACTTGCCTTGGATGGGAAGCTCAAACATGAAGATACCAATCTGGCCTCCAGTACTATGCAAGTGGGCAGGGGGAATCCTGTTTTTGTTACACCTGTTATATATTCTTAGCTAGTTCATATCTTGTTTTTTTCCCCTCCTTATTTCCCACCTCTTTCTCATTTTTCTTGCCCTCAGCCTGCTTGCGAACAGAGCGGAGGCTATAATTCCTATTAGCCTCTTGGTACAAGCTGCTGCGATTCAGTGAAAAATTTTTTAGAGTGAAAATTTGGACACCTGAGTTCTAATCCAAGCTTTGTCAATTTGGGGAAGTAATTTCATAAGTCAGAATTCATGGCTGGAAGGGACCTTAGAAATTTCAGCCCCTACGAAGTGAAGCCATGTGCCCAGGGTTGTAGATGAGTAAATCGAAGAAGTATAACTGACCCCCACTTCCTGTTGACTCCCTGTTTTCTTGGCCTCAGTGCTCTGCCCTATCACACTAGATGGCTGAATTAGATGGAAGATCCTTCTAGCTCCAGATATTATATGTGGTTAACTCAAGTCTCCAAATCCACTGGAAACTTTCCTTTTAGTCTGCATTAGGCACTCCTGAAGCTTATAGGAGAGTTAGGGGTCTGAGGTGGGGTGGGGCAGGGGCCAGTCCACCAGGTTGGTGTTTATCCATGCTCTAGTTCTTAGCCCTAGACTAAGCATCTTCCCTCTTGCAGAGTGAAGGAAGGCGCGAACAAGGAAGTACTAGGCATCCTTGTGTCCTATAGGGTCAAAGTGAAGCTGGTTGTGTCTCGGGGAGGGTGAGTACTGGTCTTCTATTTTATTTCTTTTTCCCAGTGTCTAGAGCTACCTGCCTTTTCCCCTCATAGTGTTTCTTTCTCTAGGGATGTCTCAGTGGAGCTCCCCTTTGTCCTAATGCACCCCAAGCCTCATGACCACCCCACCCACTCCAAACCTCAATCAGGTGAGACTCTTTCACCTGCTCAAGCCATTTCCAGGAGTCTGTTAGAAGAACAGAATAGGAAAGGGCTATAAAGAGGAATTTATTCTTCTCTAGAACCACCAACTAACTGTTCATTCCCTTCATTTCCTTTTAAAGCTGCCCCTGAGATAAATGATCCAGTGGATACCAATCTCATCGAATTTGAGACCAAGTAAGGAAGACCTCTGCCTTTACCCCTCCTCCCCCTATCTCCATGGAAAAGGAAGAGGACTCCTTTTTGCTTTAAGTCTACTTTCCTCTACCCTGCTACAGCATCAATTCCCTGCCCTCTCTAATAATGGGTGGGGGTAAAGGGAGAAGAAGATTCGGAGGGATGAGGCCTCAACAAACCTGGCTTAGTGAAGAGGCTGCCCAGCAGCTCAACCCTGTCACTGCTAAATCTCCGTGTCATCTGTAGCACCAGCACTCTTGCTTCTTTCTCTTTTGGTTGGGGTGGTGGGGAAATCTGGAGCCTCTCTATCTCATGCCCTCCCTCACTTCCTTTCCCAGCTATGGCACAGATGATGACATTGTGTTTGAGGACTTCGCCAGGCTTCGGCTCAAAGGGATGAAGGATGAAGATTATGATAACCAATTCTGCTAGGGAGGGAGAGTGGAAGAGGAGAAAAAAGTGGTGGGGGGAAATAAGAGCAAGACCATGCTCCCTATTCTAATTAGGGTTCCATATGTTCCCCCAGGCATAAAAGCACTGTACACAATTTTTAATTGAAGCTGGGCATTAATTTTAGGCTGCAGTGGCCTGCTAAAGCAGCAGGCTGTGTTTGTACCTATATTTGGGGTGGTTGTTTTTTTGGGGGGGAGTGAGGAATAATTGGGAAGAGAGAGAACCCTCACCTTCCACACATATACCTGTCACTGCCTCTATAGAACCCCTTCTGGATTGTAAGACCCCTTTATTAGTAAGGAGGAGGAAAGTGGTCCCCTGGGAGGCAGGGGAATTGCTATGGATCTAAGCAAAAAGAAGAATAATTTTTTAAAGCTGAAAGTGTGTGTGTTTTCTCTGACCTTGGTGGGGGGGGGGTTAGTAAAAATTTATGGGGGTGGGGAAGATGTAGCAGTAATACCATTATATTTTTGTTCTTGAGAAGACCAAATGATCAGAATTTGAGAGAACGACAGCCCTGTGAAGTAGGGAGGAGAGACGAAGAAAGGAGGTACAGACAGTTGAAACCCCAAGGGTCACACAGGCAAACAAGCAGCAGGCTCAAATTCTTCTGAATCTGAGGGCAGTCCAACATAGTGTGTGTTCATCCCTTAGAATTGAGCATTCAGCTCACCAAGTTAAGAAATTCAATTTCATCACTTCCCTCTGAAGGATACAGCTTTCTATAACTAGAATTTCTTTGTCCTTTCCACTTCTGAAGTTCTTATGGGTTTTCTGGCCAGCATGCTAGAGTATCCCTATTCTTCTCTTTGTATGCTGGTGACAAACTGACAAAGCTCTCATTTTACTTTTTCTAGTTTTGGGGCTGGGAAGAGAATTAATGTCTACCACTGGCTCCCAGGTGGGCACAATATATGTCCAGTACCAGACCTGTGATACTCAGTAATGATGAGTGTTTTGAAAAGGGGAAATGTAGTACTGTGTAGGCAAGCTACCTTAACCAAAAAAAGCCACACATCCCGAGAACCTACAGCTTGTTTTCAAGAGGTCTTAAATACCCCAGCTGAATTTTTGCCAAACTCACCTTTTCACTTTGTTTCCAAAGTCTATCCTGGTGTTAGTCCTAGAGCCCTGAGTTCATCCACTATGAAACTCCTGAGGGGAGAAACCAGGCTATCCAAGACTATCCCCCACCTGCCTTGGGGAGACGTAGATCATAAGATGTTAGTTTGAAAGGTCCAACTCCTCTCATTTCTGAGATGAAGAGGTGTTGGAGAGGGAAGCTTTCTTGCTTAATGTCATGGAGATAGTGAATGGCTGAGCATTAATAATTAATAATAGCAAGCATTTATATGTGTCCCTAAGTTGCCCAATGGATAGGGTATTGGGCCTGGAGTCAGGAAGACTCTTGAATTAAATCTGACCTTGGACATTTACCAGCTGTGTGCCCCTAGACAAACCCTGTTTGCCTCAGTTTCCTCCTCCATAAAATGAGCTGGAGAAGGAAATGGCAAATCACTTAAGCATCTTTGCCAGGAAAACCCCAAATGGGGCTTACGAAGAGTCTGACACGACTGAACAACAAATATTTATACATTGCTTGCTATGTGCTAAGCGCTGTAGAATTATCTGATCCTTACAACAATCCTGGGAGATAGGTGCTAATATTCCCATTTGACAGATGAGAAAACTGAGTCACTGCATTTAAGTGCCTGGCCCATAGTCACACAGCTAGTAATTGTCTAAGGCCACATCTGAACTCTGGTCTTCCGAACTCCAGGTCCAGTGGTCTATTCACTGCATCCAGCTGCCCAAGATCTAATTCCACTTCGTTGCTTCCCGGGGATGCTGGAAGCCAAAGATCCCTCTAAACCACCCTCACCTCTACTCCAGTCCTAAGCAAACAGACACCCGGCAAGCAATTTACTATACCAAAGAAAACCGGCCAGAAGCCCGGAGTGTAGCTTAATTTATGGAACGGTTCCTAGGGAAGACAGGTTTGATTAACCCTAGAGGATTACTCCCCCACCTTACCCTAGTACTGTACTGTATTTCCAGTCTTGTGCAGCCCCAAGCAACTTGGGAGCTGTAGTCCACCAGAGGCAGAGAAGTGTCAACCTGCGCGGGGGTTCTTGGGAGCTGTAGTCTACCAAGAAGTAGGCTTGGGCCGGCCGGCTGCCAGGTGGAGGGGAGTGTCAGGCTGCGCGGTGTTTCCTGGGAGCGGTCGGCTACCGGGAGCCAACTGGAAGGCCTCCGGCTGCGCGGAGCTTCCTGGGAGTTGGAGTGCGTCTCCTGCCGGTAGTTCGGCTTCTGACGGGCCGATGTGAGAAAGGCTTGCGGGTTTCTCAGATCGGTGGTCCGCTAGGAAACAGTCGCGGCAAGGATTCCCGTTACAGTCATGGCGACTCATAGCCTGGCGAACGAGCGGCTGCGGGCCTTGGAGGATATCGAACGGGAGATAGGGACTATCCTGCAGAGCGCCGGTGAGAGTCGAGTTTGGGAGCGAGGAGGCCTGGTTTGCCGCACATGCGCCGAACCAATTTGCCTCTTGTCTTTCCCTTATTCGCGCGCGGGGTGGGGCGGAGACGCCTGGCCTGGGCGAGAGGTTGGGGGCGGAGCTCCTAGCTTGGGGGGGGGTCATGTTGGGAGCTCCGCCCCCCCAAGCGAAATTTCGACTCTCTGCGGGGTAGGAAATGTGATCCTGGAGCTGTCCAAGGAGAAGGCAAACGAACGGCTGCTGGACCGGCAGGCGGCAGCCTTCACCTCCTCCGTGCAGCACGTGGAGGCCGAACTGTCAGCCCAGATCCGATACTTGACTCAGGTCGGTGCCCAGGAGGGGTCAGTGCCTGGCGAGGGGGTGGGGAGTTAAAATCTGAGGCGTGGATTTGGGTGGCTGGACCGGGCAAGAGTAGGCGGTGTTTAAAACTTCAACAACCCAGGTCTTCATCCTCATCAGTTACCTCGATGGGGGAAAAACAATAGGAGAAAGAGTGCCCTGTACTGGGCATTCCCCTCAGGTTATCCAAAGCCGAATAGATGCCAAGAAACTGCATGGTACGGCAGGCTACTACATCCCAGAAACACGTGCACATTCAAATTCCGTGACTTCAGCCCTAAAACTTTGTCTGCTCTAAAGCCCTAAATACCTGAACGTTATGGTTTGTAGTGACAGTTTTGACAGGGGGAAGTGCAGAATGATGTAGCACGACTGAAATTGGAAGCCAGGAAGATCTGTTTTCAAATACTGCCTCAGAGTAACCTATTTGTGTGGTCATGTAATTGGGCTGTACTTTGTTGTAAAATTAGGGGACTGGACTTAGTAGCCTTTAATGCCCCTTCTAGCTCTAAATCTACGACCTCCTTTCCATCTCAAAATCGATAACTCTAAAGCTGGAAAGCAACTGGAAGGAAAGATTTATTAAACTGTAAGGTTCATGAAGGTAATGATTTGTTTATTTTTATACCACTCCCAGTGTCTTGAATAGGGCTTTAAGCATATGCTTAATGATTTTTGTTTGTTTGTTTTTGGTTAGGCAGTGGGGTTAAGTGACTTGCCCAGAGTCACACAGCTAGTGTTATGTGTCTGATGCTAGATTTGAACTCAGGTCCTCCGGAATCCAAGGTGGGTGCTCTATCCACTGCACCACCTAGCTGCTCCTTAATAAATTAGTGAAAGCAGCTGGACACCTGGGTCCTGAAGAAGTATATTGGTGGGGTTTGGATAGATGTCTGGATCCCTCAGGGGAGTTAGGTAGTGGGGTGTGGAATAGGGTAAAGATGAGGACCAGCTGACATCTGTGTTCATTTTTAGGTAGCTACTGGCCAGCCTCATGAGGGTTCCAGCTACTCATCAAGAAAGGACTGCCAGATGGCACTGAAAAGAATAGATTATGCTCGACTGAAATTGAGTGAGCTGGCACGAACCTGTGAGCAGGTGCTGGAGACCTAAAGCAGGGTAGAGGCCCTTCCTTGCCCCTCTTCCATACCTCTGTTGTCTTGGACAAAGTAAGAAGAGTGAGGAGAAGGAAGTGGTATCCCACCAGACTTCACCATTCAGAAAATCCATGGGAAATAAAAAAGATAGAGGTTGCTTCACCCAAGAACTCTCCACAAATTACCTCTTTAACCAGGGCTTGGAGATCCTAATATACAATTTCTTTCTTCCACCCTACATTTCCATTTTCCCATGATACTTTGGGTTCTTCTTGCCACTTTGGTCCAGCTCAAACACACAAAATGGGAGAGAAGATCTGACTGTTTTAATAAACGAGCCTATATTTTCCATGCATCATAAGGTAGGAGGAGATAAGGGCATCTAATTAATTAGGGAGGCCATAAAGAGAGAAGATCTGGGGGAATAGTGGGAGAGTGGAGTTCAAAGTCATGTAAGGGATGGAAAGGAGCAGGGCAGTACCTTGGGACTGAGATGGGGAGCAAGAAGAGAAATTAGTTGACTTGGGTTAGGTGGAGATATTGATGGGATGTACTTGGGGAAAGACAGAATTGTCAAGCAGAAGAGGATTTCTGGGAGACATCAATTGCAGAAAAGACTCAGAAATTAGAAAACAATCACATTTAATTAAACTAATACCAGATCTTTCGATTCAATGGGAGAAGCAAATATTATTGTAGAATAGTTGCCTTGGGAGAAAAGCCTAGCTGTTTCCAGATAGCTGAAGCATGGCTTATATCGAGTCAGGTGGATCTGTCTCACAAGGGATTATCAGCTCAAAATCTAAAAAGATGAGATAAAAAGGAGGCTGGACCCCTGAAGGGAATGGGAGTTGTGGGCAGTGTGTAGTGAGGGGTATTCCTGAAGGCTATGGAACTAGGCAACAAAACTATATACAATCTGGGCCTTGCCTCTTTCTCCAACTTTATTTCCCACCATTCCTTTCCTCTGCTCTAGCAAAACTGACCTATTAATGGCTCTTAGAACATGTCTTCTGTCTTTGTTCAAATAATTCATCCATCCTAGAATGTTTCTGGGCCTACTCTCTGTTTATCTAAGTCTTATGCCATCTCAGAAGCCCTTCTCAAGTCATGTGTGGAGCCTTTCAACTGGCCCCCTCTGTGCTATGTTGACTACCTCTGCCATTTGGCACTTGGCTAATCCTTGCACTGTTAACTATCTTTTTTAGGGATATCTCCTGTTTGCTCAATCAGGTAATAAAACTCTCAAAATCAAAGACTGTCTTGGCTTCTTTGAATTCTCAGAGGCCCAAATGGTGCTCTGCATATAGTAGGCACTCAGCATGTGGTGATTGTAGTGCTCCTCAAGATGAAGCCACCAATTCAAAGTCAGAGGACCTTGGTCATAGAAGACCTAACTGTGTCACTAACTAGCTTAGGTGCTCCTTAACCGGTAAGGATGATCTCAGTTGAGTCTTAGGAACCCTGTTTTCTCTTCTGTAAAGTGATTAATAGGAGACTGTGGTATAACGGACAGAGCACTGTACTCTGGCTTCAGCTCCTGGTTCTGCCACTTAAATTATAAGATTTTGATTTGGAAAGGTCTTTAAATCCCTTGTTGTACAGATGAGAATGAAGTCCAGAAAGGGGAAATTATTTCATAGCATCATATAAGCTAGAAAGGACTTTGGAGATCATCTAGTCCAAGGCCCTCATTTTACAGATGAGGAAATGGAGGCGCAAAGTCACATAGTGGCAGAGCCAGGATTTGAACCCAGTTCTTCCAACTCGAAATTCAGTGTTTTTTATAGTATATTAGGCAGCCTCTGAGAAGAAGGACCAGGGGCTAGAAAGGGAACTGAGTCTAGAAGGGCAGATTTCGTTGGTCCTTGATGCAACTGAGATTTATGGGACCAGAACACCTGGATCCCATGTTTACCTTTGGGGTGCTGATTTGGAGATTCTACAGCTAATCGCCTCCGACACAAGACATAAGCAAGAGCTCCAGTAAGGACAAAGACAATCCCAAGTAGGCACAGAACAGGTATGGTGGCAGAGGTGCCCCGCTGGTCCATTTGTCCATTCTCAGCTTCCCACTTCAGGTTTTCCATGCTGCTGTTCCCTGAAAGGGCACTGGTGGTGTCATTGAGATATCTATTCCTCATTCCTGTCGGCCGGGCTGTTGTTGACTGGTTGGTCTGAGAGAATGGATCAGTGGTGGTGAATGGGGGTGATCGATCCAGTCCTGTGGGTTTAGGGCTATGGATCTTGGTAGTGGGGTAGTCATCCTGGGTTCTCTGCTTTCCAGATTGGTATGTCCTGGCAAATCTACATTCTGGGAAGACAAGATGAGAGAAATCTGGGGAACTGGGGAAATCAGAAATCAAAGTGAAGGACCTAGTATAGATAATGGAGTGGGTAAGAGAGTTAAACAGAAGACTTAAAAGAGATGTAAAGAATATAACTCCTTAATCCAATATTGCCAACAATCTATTTTTGTTCCCCAATCAGTCAACAAGCATTTATTAAAAGTTTATTATGTAAAAAGCTGTGCTAAGCTCAGAGATACAAAAAAAAGTACAAACTATACCTGCCCTAAAGGAGCTGGCATTCTTTTTTTTCCTCCAGTTTTTTTTTTAATAAATGTAATTGCTATCTTTTGTTTTTTACATTCTCAGAATTTCTCCCAGTATTCCCCCCTCCCTCCCAGAGAGCCATTCCACATAAGAAATAACATTTTTTTTAAAGAAAAGGGAAGAGAAAAAAAAATCAGCAAACCAAACAAGGCTAAAATATATGTATACACACATATATGTGTGTGTGTGTGTGTGTGTGTGTGTATATATGTGTGTATATATCTATTTTATATTTTCATACACACACACACACATACAATATTTTACATCTGTGGATCTTCCACATCTGCAGAGGAATAAGAATGTGTCATGTCTTTTCTTTGGGGCCATACTTGTTCTCTGTAATTTTGTAACACTCAGTTTTGATTTTTTGGTGGTTCTTTTCATTTGCATTGTTTTAATCATTATGTATATTGCTTTTTTACTTTACTTCACTCTTCATCAGATCATGTAAGTCTTTCCATGTTGCCCACAATCTCTTAACTGCTAAATCCACGGGCCTTTTTTCAGTCCTTATCCTTCCTGACCTATTCAGTGTTTGGCAATGTTGTGATCGCTGATAGGTACTCTCCCCTCCCTGGGTTTTTATGCTTTCCTGGCTCTCCTGTGACCAGGTGATTGTTCCTCATTTTCCTTTGCTGGATCATTATCTTTGTCCCTTCTCCTTTGCCTAGATGTACCCCTGAGGCTCTGTCCTACGCCCTCTTCTTCTTCTATGTCCCCCTTACTTTAATCTCATCAGCTACCATAGGTTCATTTATTATCTCTATTCAGATGATTCCTAAATCTGTGAAGCCAGCCTTCACCTCTTTCCTAAACTCCAAAACTTTATCTCAGCCTTCAGTCAGTAGTTTTTTTTCAGTTGTGTCCAACTCTTTGTGATCTCATTTGGAGTCTTCTTGGCAGAAGTACTGGAGTGGTTTGCCAGTCATCTCCAGCTCCAGATGAGGAAACTGAGCCAAATGGGATGAAGTGACTTACCCAGGGTCACACAGCTAGTGAGTATCTTGAGGCTGGATTTGACCTCAGGAAGAGGAGTGTTCCTGACTCCAGGCCTGGCACTCTATTCACTGTACCATCTGGCTGCCCATATCTCAGCCTAGCTTCCTTCAAAGCCCAGCTCAGTGGCCCCCTTTCCTATTTAGCCTAGTTGTTAGTGCCTTCTCCCCTGAAATTTCTTTGTATTTATTCTGAGTTATTTCCACCACTAGAATGTAAGGTCAAAGACTATTTCGTTTTTTGTCTTTGCAGCCTCAGTGCCTAGCATAGTGCCTGGCACATGGTAGGGTTCAATAAATGTTTGTTGAATGGCCCAGTAAATGTTTATTAAATTTAATTGAGAAGAGGAGAGAAAGATCATAGCTTGGGAGGAGGCAGAAAGGAAGACACAGTTGAGCTGGAAGATAAAGGAGAGGGGAAGGTAAGGGAACAGAATTAACTGATGGGAAGAAGAGAAGGAACTGAGGTCAAAGGATGATAGAATTTTTTTTGAAAATAGAATACAGAATAAAGAGAAAGCTGAAGAGAGTGTTAATAATGGGAAAGACAGGGAAGAAGTCGTGTAGAGCTACATGGACTCTCACCGTGGTTGTCAAAGCAAGTCCTTAGCTTCTGGACCCAGGAGTTTTTGGAGCTTGAACACAGAGTTTTTCTGGGCAGGCGGAACCTGGTTAGGAATTGGGGAAGGTGTACTGCTTCAGTTCCCAATTCTGAAGTTTCACTTTCCCCCTTCTTTACACTGCTAGAAATCTATCTCAGTTGGCCCTTCCTCATTCCTTTTCTGTTTTTTTAAGAAGACATTTTTATTTCTTGAAGTTACTGGGTAAACTTAACGGTTTTGCCATGCTGCTAGTTTCAGTAGAGGTAAAAGGACTTTGATTAGTACAGGAAAGAAATATCAGCATGGTCACAAAACACACTGAGAAATGATCAGCTTGATTATTTTCTGACATCTTAAAAGCTGAACTGTATATATAATATGGCTCAGTTTTCTCAAAGCTGAAAAAAAAATGGTCTTTATAATTGTTTTCGTTTTTACATTCATTTTTCCACTTTCGGTTCCAAATTCCCTTCCTCATTCCTAAGCAATGAAATGGCTTTGGAATTCCCCAGCTACTGGGCAAGGTAGAGTTTACCTTGGGGGTGGGGCTCAAAATTTAAGAGATCCTGGGCCCTGGGAATTATGGATTCCTGGAGATACAGAGTCAAGAAAGGTGTTTTGGGAACAAGTAAGCAGTTGGGGGTGGGGAGGGGAAAGAGGGATGGGGTGAGTATTACCTTATGTAGTTGTGGCAGCTTTCATATCCCTGTAGATTGGTAAGTAGTAATTGCCACTGTGTAGGATTCGGGGGATCAAGCAGCTTCAAATCACAAGGGCAACTTCCTACAATGCTACCCTGGTTTCCAATGACTAAGGGAGAGAGGGAATAATAACGACCCAGGTGTGCCTCAACCACAACTAGACCCAGTCTATCCATCCCCAGGATTCAAGCGTCTTAGCTAGGACTCAGGTGTCTTAACCAGTACTTCCTGTCTGGCCAATCAACACCGCTAACCTGGAAGAAGACCCAAGATGAGCATCTCCCCCTCTCCCCGCCCCCACTTTCCCAAAACACACACACATACTCTGTCTCCGTCTCTCTCTCTCTCTCTGTCTGTGTCTCTCTCTCCCCCCTCCCTCCCTCACTTACAACTTTCCCCCAACCCTAGCACACACAACTTCTTTCTCCGCACCGGCCAGAATTCGGGCGTCTGACCTCCCTCAGAGGTATGCAAATTCGTGCTCCCTATAGGAGCCCGGCAGGTAGCCTCTCAGCCCTGGAACCTCAAAATGTCTGAAGACCTCTTTGCCACCTAACCCTTTGAGTCCTCGGGGATATAAATAAGTCTACCCCAAACCACAAGGACACTTCACTCTCCCCAGAACGCGGCAGTCCCGCCGTTCCCCTCCACCCCCGCCTCGACTTCGTTTCTCAATCCGTCCACTCCATGTCCCCGAAATGGACCCGACCCATTCGCCATCCCCTCCAACCTATCTGACTCCGCGTCAGGAAGAACAGCAGAATCCTCCAGAATTCTTTCATGCTCCGGTACTCTGTGTTGGCTAACTCAGAGCTACCAGCCATATATTCTGGCTTCCTGAACTACTCCGGTAGCAGTGAGGGGCTGGTCTGAATAACTTCTGGTCCCCGCCTCCGGAAAGATTAAATAACTGGCTCTCCCCAGACGAAGAGCTCAGAGGAAGAAAGCTCTGACTTCTTCATTAATCTGGGGTGTTGGGTCATTTTTGGTTTCGGTAGAAGGTGAAAAAAAAAGTGACGGCGTCTGCCTCCCCAGCTGGGAAGAGGATGGCGTGGGAGGGCAAAGAGAACACAACGCAGACGCAGATTTTAAGAAACAAGGGAAACTCAACAGAAACAAGCAGGGACAGGCAAAGCAATGGAAAGCGACTCCGACGAGCCAGGTTTTTGCTGAGCCCAGGAAATTCCCACTGTTTTCCCCAAGTTCATGACTGGAGTGCCTGGAAAGATGGCTAGGGCAGGGAGTGGGGGCATCGAGGAGGTGCCACAAGGAGTCTGGGATTCTTTACAGACAGATCTTGTTGACTCAAAGTACTTTCACCTCCTCTTTTTCAATGGTAGGCGCCAGTAAACTGGCGTTCACAAGACTGAGGAGAAGAAATACAAATTCAGGATTTAGCTGCTTCCCTGAGAGGAGAAACAACTAAGAAGGAACGTTGAAGTGTCTCCTTACACTCCTCAGCTAGGCAAAGACGGTAAAAGATGGAAATAGTGTGAAAGGGGTTGGGAGAAGAGTAGCTCACAATACCATATGGTAAGTTAGTTGCTCGATCTGAGAATTAGCTTAGTCATTCTGGAAAACAACTCAGAATCACATGAGAGAAGTCACTGAACTGTGCATTACCCTCTGACCCAGCGATTTCACTGCTAGTCAAAAACAGAAAAATCCCATATGTATCAATATTCATAAGAGCATGTGGTAGCAAAAACTTGCAAACAAAGTAGGTGTCCATTGATTAGAGGAATATTTTTAAAGGTGGTATGTGGATATAAAAAATATTGTGCCTTAAGTAATGAAAAATATGGAAAAACTCAGAAATTTGGGGAGCTTTATGTATGAACCCGAAGATGAAAGAAAACAGACCCTAGAGAACAAACAATATACACAGTGATTGATAATGTAAGTGAATACAACACTTAGATCACATGTCAATATTATCGATCAAAGGTCAATACAAGTTACAGATAACGGATGATGGAACATTCTACTTTCATCTTGGTAGAGAATTGGAGGGCTGTAAATGCATAAGGTTAAACTCTCAGTCAAGGTTGAGGTAAATGCCTTTGTTTAATTGGTTTTTTGTAATTGTTATAAGGGATAGTGCAGGGGAGAAAGGGGGATTACTGTTAAGTATAGTGTAGATAATAGTGCGTTCATAAGACATTTTTTAAAATAAAAGAAAGAAACAAAGGTACTTAAGTGTCGGCCTCAGAAGACTGCGGACTCAGCTGTAGGGGGAGTCTAGACTGGATGGGGGGTGGGGCGTTCTGCGCGAGGGTGCCAGGTCGGGGGGAGGGGGCGTGATGTCACAGCCCTCCCCCACGCCGCCAGAGTATTTACCTTCGAACAGAGACGGCCGCTGCAGGTAAGGGGGACAGGGTAGAGGAGAAATAGAAATGGAAAGATAGCCCCGCAAGTATATACAGAACCCAAATCTGACCTAGACAATGGGCAACCTGGCCCTTTTCCTTCTACTTTCTGATTATAGGCCGTTATGAAATTCACCTTTCTTTCCTGATGATTTCCCGGTCTTCCTCCCACAAACAAAAAAACTCAGCCCCAAATGAAATAATCTCCACCCCTGATTCAGTTTGTGGGTTAGACTCCATCCCTGTTAACCTCTATCTCCAGCCCCTATTCCCTATTCTCAGCAGCTAATATGTCCTTATTTACAGCCTCCATTCCTAACCCTAAATAGTGACTCTTAGTCTAATGCTAAACCATAGCCCTCCTTCCCCAACTCCTCCTTCTGCATTTAACTCTTCAGCCACTATCCCCAAGACCCTTATCCATGGTCTTCTTCCCTATCCACTCTTTAGTTTTAGCCTATTTTAGTTTGGTTTAGTGAACCCAGCCCTAAATCATAGTCCCTACTTCCCCATCTTCACTCCATCCTTTCCTACCCTAACTCCAGTTACTCACATTCCTGTGTTCCTTTCCTCTCTCTGTGACTTGACTCCTTTGCTCTTCTAGAAATCATGGAGTTTGTATCTGGTTATCGGGATGAGTTCCTTGACTTTGCTGCCCTTCTATTTGGCTGGTTCCGCAAGTTTGCCTCAGAGCGTGGAACTGGGGTTGGTGGGGGGAATGGGCCTGAGGGTCGATCAAGGTTGATGGAGGCCCAGGTAAGACGGTTGCCCCCAGATCCTGCCCTCTGGGTCCTTCACATCTTGCCCAACCGTAGTGTGGGGATCAGCTTGGGGCAAGGTGCTAAGCAGGGACCTGGACCAGGTCTGGGAGCTGCCCGTCTTTTGGGAGATGAGCCCCCTCTCTGTCTCAGAGACCTCAGCCCCTATGTCAGCTTTGTTAGCCTTGAGGATGGAGATGAAGAAGAAGATGGGGAGGAAGAGGGTACAGGTGGAGAAGAAGGTGAACTGGAGGAGGAAGGAGAGCAGGCCACCACCAGCCAGGAGCCTATCCAGGATACTGAGACACCTGGGGAACCAGAAGATGCTGAGGAAGAGGCAGGAGAGGACAGCAGCGGAGGGGACACCAGAGAAGATGGAGAAGAGGAAATGGGGCCAGAAAAGAGAAGGGGAAAGAGAGGTGGTGAGAGGCCTAAATACAACCTTACTCCCAGTTTTGACCCAACTACTCACTCTCCACCAAGAGTGGCTCTGTTCCTATGCTCGCTCTATCTTTTCTGCTTGAAGAGAGAAATATTCACATTGACATAGTCCCCTTATACCCTTGGACATATTTCTCCAACACAAGACATTTTGAAGTAACGTTTATAAGAATACTGAATGAGGAACATTTCACAATGTGGTAAAATGTAGTTAAATTTAAAATAGGATTAACATTTTATATGAACAATAGAAAAATAGTCACTTAATCTTTCAGGAAAATTCCTGGAGAATTGAGACAAACACTTTCCTCAAGAGCTCTTCCCTCTGCTTGTCCCAGGTTACCTGAAGCAAACAAAAATATCTCTTCCTTTGGATTGATTCCCTTATCCCTTTTGGGATAATGGGGACTAAGGGTAGCATCCTAAAGTGGGTCATTGCTCTAATCCCTTCAGGGGATGGGGAGAAAGCAATGATCTGTACTAGATCTGAGATATTTCTCCTAAAAAGGTTACCGTCCTTAACCCATTTTCTGGGACCTTTACCTTTCTTTCTCTACCCTTTTCACATTTTCCTAAAAGAAAAAGATTAGGCTTAAGAGAAAGGGCAGAAAGGTTTTTAGTGGAGGTCATTATTTCCTGAGAAGTTTAAGTAGTGATAAAGCTTTCTTCCCTGTGGTAAATCTGAAAAGGATCACCCTGGAGAAATATTTATTTCTTCATATTTTCAGTTGAATTAAAAGAGATTTTAATGTGCAAGATGTGTGGGGTAGGGGAGGAGCATGAACAATCCTTCTCCCAGCTCTACTGAATTTACCCTATATATGGGAATTCTTAATTATAGCTCTGCTTCTGCCTCTCCTCAGGCTCCCCCTCTTCCCTGAACTCCTAACCCCGATCCACATAGTCTTCCTTTGTACATCAACTCTACCTTTCCTTGAACCCCAATCCTCTTTCCCTTTCATCTGACTTCCCTCTCTTTTTCCAGATGCTGCCCCCCTACACCTGGCCTGCCTTCTTCTGGTGACTGATGAACATGGCACTATCCTGGGCATTGACCTTCTCATGGGTGGACCCCAAGGGAGTGGAGTCAGGGCCACTGGGGCTGAGGGCCTGGCCCAAAGAGCTTACACTCTCCTCTGCCACAGTATGGTCTGCCCCATGGGAGCTGGAGACCCTAGAAGACCCCGGCAGCTCACAGTAGGAGATCCCCAGCTACATCGGTACAGAGATGTGGGTCCCAAGTGATGTAGAAAATGGCACAGGAAGGAGAAAGGGGAAGCATGGGGTCCTAAATGCATTGGTTTCAGAATGGTATGGAGGGTGTGTATACCTGTGTCCCTAAAGAATATAGGGACTGGGAAGGGAGCTTGGGACCTGGATGCTCCATGCCCCAGTTCCCGATGGGGTGGAGGGCTGGGTCCTTATGCTGAAATTCATCTCCTTATCTACCCAGGGAACTGGAAAGCTTGGTCCCAAGGCTTGGGGTGAAGCTAGCCAAGGCCCCAATGAGGACATGGGGCCCCCGTCCTGGCTTCACTTTTGCCTCACTCCGTGCCCGTGCCTGCCATGTGTGCCACAGACACAGTTTTGAAGTGAAGCTGATGCCCTGGTGAGCAGCTGTCATGAGTAGGAGTTAGACACTGAAGGTGGAGAGGGACAGGTCTGTTAGGTTGTGTGTCCTGTCCTTCCCCATACTTGTTCTACTCTTGGTTTCATCTCCTCCAGCCCCCAGTGTGGTGCAGTCCTATACTGTGGGGAGACCTGTGTCTGGGCTGACTGGCGACGCAGGCCAGATGATGTGAGCCATCGATTCTGGTGCCCAAGACTTGCAGTTTTCATGGAGCGGGCTGGGGAGCTGGCAGCTTTGCCCTTCACCTATACTGCTGGTACCAGGAATACCTGAGCCCTTGGGGGAACCTAGGGGACCAAGAACTAGGCCTTTACAGAGTGTACAAAGAGCCAAGGAACTAGAAAGGGAAAAGATGCTGGGCTCCTAAGATAACGTGATGCAGGGTTGGTGGGGAGAGGAATGGGACACTCTGAGGCTTGGGGGCCAGAAGAAGGGTGTCTTGGGTGGGCACTTGGGGTACAAAACACTAGGATCTGGGTTAGTGTGGCAAAACTCCTTGGGGCCCAGATATCTGGGCCCTCACCCCTTCCCTCCTCCTCCAGAGGTAACAAGCGAGATGTTTAACAAGGAGGCATTCCTGGCCTCCCGAGGCCTCACACGAGGGTACTGGACTCAACTCAGCATGCTCCTCCCAGGTCCTGTTGCTCCAGGATACCTCCCAGGCAATGGGCCTCCCCTCAGCCTCCTCCTCAGTGGTTCGTAGGACATCCTGGAGGCTTGGGGAGGGGGTGGTGCTGTGACCCATTCTTTCCTATCACCTCCTTCCAGCTTTGCTTGTATTTATCCTGTTCCTAGGGCCATAGGATATACAACTACAGAAATGTGGGAGGCATTATAGGGAGGGGATGGAGAGAGGGCCAGAGGATGTCTTGGGCAGCAAGCAACAAGCATTTATTAAGTTCTTACAGTGCCAGGCACTGTACTAATGCTGGGAATACAAATAAGAGCAAAAAGAAAGACAAGTCCCTGCTCTCAAGAAGCTGACATTTTAATGGGTGTGGGGTAGACTACCACAAAGGGAGCTGAGGTGGTGGGGAGGGGAGAGGCGTTTCAGAGAAAATTTTCTAGCTCCCTCCAAATCCACTTGAAACACATACATATACACAAACAAGGACCATCTCAGGGACCATTCTGTCCCCAAGTATCTCTGCAAGCCAGCAGTTCTCCTAGCCCACTAACCCACACAAAAAAGTTTCTCCCCCTTAGTCACTCCATCCCCTATCCCCACCTCCCAGTTCCTATTCAAATGCCTCCAAGAGTAATTTCAGATCAGCTCCTCTGTGGCAATAATTCATTGCAGTACCTCTCCCTCCACCCAGACCTAGAAACACCAGCCCAGGGTTCCCCTGCCTCCAAGGTTATTGATAAGGAGGGCTAGGCTAATGGGGGCATCCCTCCCCCACCCCTACCTACCTCTTCTCTCAGGCGATCCTTATCAGCTGCTTCAAGGAGATGGACCCCCCCTGATGCCTCCACTGCCTCCTGACCCACCTCGAGGCCCTTTTGGTGAGGAGAATTAGACCCCTTCATCTCTGAAAGGAGGAGAGGAAGGTGGGGAAGACAGGAACCAGAGGCTAGAGGTCTGGCCCTGAGTCCCTAGGAACAAGTGCTCTGGTGGGAAGGAGTATGTAGAAGGGAACAAGGTTGGAGGTCTACATCTCACAGTATGACTTCATCTACCCATCCATTCACCCCTCTTCATTTTCCCACCACCACCAGGTTCCTGGCAAGATTACTATGCATGGCGTGGCTTGGGTCTGGACTCTCCCTTGGCTGTTCTCCTGACCTACCCACTGACCGTCTACTATGTTATTACCCACCTGGTGCCCCAATCTTGTAAGAAAGGAACAGAGAACATGGGTCGAGTTGGGAGGGACTAGACATGGGGGAAACAGTGGAGAGGCTTGGGGTCAGACTGAGGTAAGAAGAGGTAGAAAACCAGAGGGCTGGACATAGAGGACAGAATGGGAAGGGTTGGGGCATTATCAATTTAATATACTGTTCTCCCCCTCTGCCCTTCCACATATATACCTAGTCCCAGAGCTGAATATCCAGAACAAACAGTCCCTGAAAATCCACGTGGTAGAGGCTGGGAAGGAGTTTGATCTCATCATGGTGTTTTGGGTGAGACTCAAGAGGAAGGTAGATGGGGTGGATGAGACTAGGTAAATTTCTGACATGGAAGGTACCGAGGGAAGGCAGATGGCTGAGTCCCTGAAGAGGGGGGTTTTGGGAGGCTGAATTATTGTGGTCTTTGATGAGAGTGAGCTGAAAAAAGACAGACACCTGGGTCTTGGAAAGCGGGGTGGCAATAGTTGACCCTTATCCCCTAGGGTCAAGTAGGGAAGTTGAGGAGGCAGATACCTAGGACATTCAGCAGGAACTGGACTAGATGGAGATGGGAGAGGACAAGGGTGTTGTGGTGGTTGGGGGAGGGGGGTGGACAGTCAGTGTGACATTCCCTATTCTTCTACCTAGGAGCTCTCTGTTCTACTCCCTCATGTGGCCCTGGAACTGCAGTTTGTAGGCGGTGCTTTGCCTCCTGAGAATGACCAGCAACATTTTACCCTTCAGAGGGTATGAGGGTCCTGGGGGATAGAGGGTTTACCCTGATCTGAGCAGATCTGATGCAGCCCAGATACAGCCTCTGCCCCACCACAGCCACAGAAGAGCCTATGCACTTCTTTCCTATAACTAATCTTTTCTCTCACTTTCATTTCTTCCTCTCTTAATCAATATCCAAAAGCTTTTGCCCCAAGCTCTCTCTGATCTCCTCCCACCAGGATGGATCAGGAGTGTCTGTCCGTCCAGGCTCTGGAGTATCTGCTCATCCAGGCTCAGGAGCTAAAGAGAAGGGAAGTCGTAGAGATCTTCAGATCAAGGTTTCTGCCCGGCCCTACCATCTACTTCAGGGACCCAAGCCTGATCTGGTGATTGGTGAGATGCCCAAATGTGTGTGTGTGTGTGTGTGTGTATGTGTGAGAGAGAGAGAGAGAGAGAGAGAGAGAGAGAGAGAGAGAGAGAGAGAGAGAGAGAGAATGTGTGTATGTGTGAGAGAGAATGTGTGTGCATGTGTGTGTGTGACAGAGACAGAGGGTGAGAGAGAGAATGTATGTGTGTATGTGTGTGTGTGTGTCTGAGAGAATATGTGTGTGTGTGAGAGAATGTGTGTGCGTGGGTATGTGCATGAGAGAATATGTGTGTGTGTGTGTGTGTGTGTCTGAGAGAATATGTGTGTGAGAGAGTGTGAGAGAGAGAGAGAATGTATGTGTGTGTGAGAGAGAGAATATGTGTGTGCATGTGTGTGAGAGAGAATGTGTGTGTGAGAGAATGTGTGTGCATGTGTATGTGCATGAGAGAATATGTGTGTGTATATGTGTGTGTGAGAGAATATGTGTGTGTGAGAGAGTGAGAGCAAGAATGTATGTGTGTATGTGTGTTTGTGAGAGAGAATATGTGTGTGTATGTGTTTGAGAGAGAGAGAGAGAGAGAGAGAGAGAGAGAGTGTGTGTGTGTGTGTGTGTGTGTGTGTGTGTGTGTGTGTGTGTGTGTGTGTAGGGGAGAAAGGAGCTAGAGTATTCTCTTCACTCTCTCCTTTCTGCCTCTTCCTCAGGATTTAACTCTGGCTTTGGTCTCAAGGACACCTGGTTGAGTTCTCTGCCTCGATTACAGGTATGGAGAGTGGAAAAGAAAGGGCAAAGGAAGAAGGAGGACTATGGGGAATACTATCCCCCTTCTCCCTTCTTTCTATTACTGACCCCCCCCCTTGCCCACCTTCTCATTCTTTGGATAGCTTTAGGTATCTCTAGGACTTTGGTATCTAGGCTCATCTATCATCTTCCCCTTTGTCTTAAATATTGGATTCTCTAATCCTCTCTAATTCTCCAGTATGGACAAAGAGTGAAGTGCATCTGTGTTCTTATGCTCTGCTTTATTCCCTATGGCAAGTATCTCTGGGGGTGGAGTTATTTCCCATATGGGAAGGCTTAAAAGGGGGCCTCTAACCCTGAATATTCTCCTCCAGTCTCTTAGAGTCCCTGCATTTTTCACGGAGAGCAGTGAGTACAGCTGTGTCATGGATGAACAGACCATGGCTGGGGCCACAGGAGGGGGGACCAGCCCCCCACAGCCCAACCCCTTTCGATCACCCTTCCGCCTCCGGGCCGCAGACAATTGTATGCCTTGGTGAGGGGCTCTTCTGGTGCTTGAACCCATTCTTTCTCTATGCGGGAGTCCCCTGTCCTTTCCTTCTCCACTACTACTTTATTCCCTAACACTCCCCTATCATCATCCTGAACCTTCCGTTTCTAGGCTCCTAGACTTCTCACATTTCTTCTTCCCTCATGACCCTTCATGGTGCCCATTTCCTCCACCCCCTTTAACACCTCACTCCACATACCCAGATTTGTAATCTCCTATCTATAGAATTCCACTCAGAGACCTCACTACCTTCAGCCTTGCACCCTCTCATTCACATCCCTGGTCCCACTCTCACTTCTTCCCTTAGGTACTGTAATGCCTTCATCTTTCACTTGGTGTACAAGCCTCCTCAGGGGAGTGGGATCCGCCCTGCCCCTGGACCTACCCCCCCTGTCCCAGCCCCAACAGTCCCTCTAGTGCCTGCCAGAAGGCGAAGAGGAGAGAAGAGGCCAAGTCGTGGAGGCCGAAGGCGAAGGTGAGAGTCAGAGATGGAATTATCACTTCCCATAAAATTGTTAAAAAGAAGAACCTTCAGGCCAAGGGGAAGAGATAGCTGGGGAAACAGGAAAGGTGAATAAAATTACTGCTTTGAGAGGCAAATGAAACAATGTGAACTGGCCCACTTTGTCCTCACTAGATCCTCTAGGCAACTACATGGCACAGTGCATAAGAGTGCTGGATCTGGGGTCAGGAAAACCTGAGTTCAAATCCAGCTTCAGACACTTCCTAGCTGTGTCACCCTGGGCAAATCACTTAAATATTGTGTGACTCAGTTTCCTCAACTGTAAAATGAAGATAATAATAGTAGCCACCTACTTCCCAAGGTTGTTGTGAGGATCAGATGAGATAATATTTGTAAGGTGCTTACAACAGTACTTGGCCTACCCTAACTTACTCTCACTACCCCTTTCTGTGCTCCTACTCTTCAGGCCAAAACTTCTCTATAACAAACTCTGTAGTCTTGTCCTTTGTTTCCTCCTTCAAGGAGAGGTGGTCCTTCTTGAGAAGACCAACCCTGATATTTGTGACCTTGGTACCATCCCTCCCTTTTTCCTCCAGAAGCTTGTCCTATATATCATTCATTTCCTTTTTTAATCTTCAATACGTTCGTATCTACTAGCTTGCTCTCTGATGCCTACAAACATGCTTTGGTCTTCTTTGTCTTGTAAACAAAACAAAAAACCCTTTAGTTAGCCCCATAATTCCCTTAAACAACCCATCCTATATCTCTTCTTTTCATAGCCAAGTTCCTAATGTAAGTCCTATGGGGGAAGGGGAAACCTAAGAACAGGGTCCCAAGGAGTTTGTGTGTATACCAGATGTCCTCAACACCAAGCAAAGCTTAGCCTAGGCTGCTTCAGAACAGAAGGAGCCCCAGGCCAAAACTGTACCAGCCCCCCACAACTGTGGGAATCAACAATTTTCAGCCTTCTTTGGTCATAAGTCTTTTTGGGTTCAAAAGAGAAAGGTCTTGGCTACAATCTGAACATAAAAATAAGCACTCTGGAAAATTATCATTAAAAGCAAACATTCTTTAATTGACTCTGTCCCCATCCAGCCTGCATTAGGAAAATCCTACAATTCCTTTTGGGTTTAGCTATGCTGCTCTCAATCCCACTCCACTTACGCATAGTCACATTCTTTGTAAATTAATAACCATCTGAGGGGTTTTTTTGATAACAGTATTACATAGCATTAAAATGAAGTAAACAAGTGAACAAAGCTTCCAAATGACTACTACTGGGGCAGCTAGGTGGCGCAGTGGATAGAGCACCGGTCCTGGATTCAGGAGGACCTGCATTTAAATCCAACCTCAGACACATAACACTAACTGTGTGACCCTGGGCAAGTCACTTAACCCCATTGCCTAGCCTCCCCCCCAAAAAAATCTACCAAATGACTACTACTTTAGTTGCAACTGAGAGGGGATAAATAGCTTTTTCTCTGCCTAAACACACATATACTGGTTTGGAGGAGAAACAAGTAATAAATAGTGAACACATAAAAAGATCAGCTCTCCTGCTCCAGAGATGGAAGTAGAAGAAAAATGTAGCAGACTGAGTTTGTTCATCTCACCAACCCAACTAAAAGCCCAGTCTGCTCTCAGTTCCTTATTCTAGTCTTTATTTAGATATTTCCTATGCTCCAGCTTCTATCTCTACTATTCTCTGCTGTCTTCTGCTCTCATTCGCCAAATAAGAGATATCTACCAGCCATTACTCAGCTCAGTGGTCCTGAAGGGAGTACCAGAAGGTTCTCTATTCTGCCTTTCTGTCTTCCACACATTGCCTCCATTTTGCTCCTCCATATGGTTGCCACTTACCTGCAAAAGTCCCTTTGAGGTCAAAAGTCACAGGAATTAGGGGCAGCTAGGTGGCACAGTGGATAAGGCACTGGCCCTGAAGTCAGGAGAACCTGAGTTCAAATCCAGCCTCAGACATTTGACACTTACTAGCTGTGTGACCCTGGGCAAGTCACTTAACCCCAACTGCCTAAAAAAAAAAGGTCACAGGAACTTCAGGAACTCTGGGTAATGTCTTTCCACCTATGGGCATATACTTCTAGAGGTTTTATGGTACAGTAGAAAATATGCCAAATTTGAAGTCAGAGGATGGGGCATCAAAATAAACATCTCTTAAAATGACAAGGATTATTAGCCTGACATCAATGGTAATCACTCCATTTACATCAAATGTATGTTGTTACATTCAGCAGATGTTATTGTTGTTCAATCTTGTCTGACTCTACATGACCTCGTGGACATGATCATTAGGATTTTCTTGGGAAAGATACTGGTGTGGTTTGCCATTTCCTTCTTCAGTGTGTCCTCATTTTACAGAAGAGAAACTGAGGCAAATAGGGGTTAAGTGACTTGCCCAAAGTCACACAGCTAGTAAGTGTCCAAGGCCAAATTTGAATTCAGATTTTCTTGACTCCAGGCCTGGTGCTCTATCCACTGTACCACCCAGCTGCCCCTTCAGCAGACATAGCAAAATTCAAAGCATCATGTCTGTTACATGCAGGGCATTGTCAAAGAAAAATATGAATACTTCATTTTAGGCACAAGTCTGCCAAAGTAAATTTTTATTAAATATTAATCTAATATATAAGCATTTCTAACTTGGAGAGAGAAATGTCCAAACTCTACTAGGCCTTTCCATGCCCAAGAAATTTGAGATGACATAAGAATCTTTTTTTTTCTGCTTTTTGGTGAGGTGATCAGGGTTAAGTGACTTGCCTAGGGTCACAAAGCTAGTAAGTATTAAGTGTCTGAGGCTGGATTTGAACTCAGGTCCTCCAGACTCCAAAGCCAGAGCTGTCTTCACTGCTCCACCTAGCTGCACCCATAGGAATCTTGAACAAGGAAAATACAGTTTGGGGTTAACATTCCAGAAAAATAATTTAATCTTCAACTAGAACAGCTCAGTTCCTCTCTTGATCACTCCCCTCAAAGAATGAAAGGGAATTTCCTCCCTGAGATCAATATTGATCTCCTGAGATCAATATTGCAATCCTTTCTGAATAATAGAAAAGTACATTTCCCTTGGTTGTATCAAGGCGTGGGCAAGGCACAGAACAAAGCAAGAGTTGGGACTGGTTATCTCTCATAATCCATTTCCTTAAGAAGGGCCTTTTGTTCTACCCACTTTCCTAAAGGGAAAAATCTACAAATTGTTTTAGGTGAGGGAAAATACTACTTCTTGATATTTTTAGTTAAACTAAAAAGGTTTTTATTATGCTTCCACAATGTATTACATTTTGACATCATGAGTGTGCATGCATAGATACAGTACAAAAGCAAGAAGTCATACATTTTTTTAAAAAAGCACAGCTGTCAATAACATCATTAACAGGCCTAAATAGTATCAAAAAGCATGTATGCACATCGGCGTATATGAAAATAAACAAACACTTAGAACTGCACAGCTAAAAATAGCAATAGTAAATCTATGATACTAGCACATTAGCAAATAAACATGAACTGCAAAAAAAAAAACAGAAGCGTAACTGAGAAACGTGAAGTTAATAACATTTGCAACTATATATGCAATTGTATGCAAGAAACGTCACAAGGACAAACATTAGTATTGTCATCTTGATACATGTGTAGCCTTTCCTGTAACATGTTATTAGGGCCAAAGATAGGGAGAGATTTAGCTCCCTTATGACTGGGAAACTTTTCTGCCCCTAGTTGATGGCGAAGACTTATCAACATCAATCACCACCATCAAATCTAGTTGCCTACATTCCTAAACCTGACCTTAACTCACTCTGAGCATTTCTAGGCTCTGTAACCTAGGAGTCTCTAAAGCTGAAATTCTAGGCAGGAAAGGTGCTTCCTCTGGTTCCTCTGGGTCCTCTATCTCCAGGCAAAGTTGTTAGTGTTACAATATACAAAATCTTCATGCTTTTGAAACATCACTTTTGTAGCCATTATCTAGTTCAAATACTCTGTACAATTGGTGGGCTGTCTCTTTTACCGTAGAGTCCACTAAGCTAATCGTTCATTAGTTCTTTCCTCTTGTCCATCATGGAATCTGACTAATTCTTGAGCAATAAGAGCTTGTGATAAATTGTCTTTACAGATTCTCCCTCCTCCCCTGCCCACTCTCCAGGGCTATTATATAAACATACATATTGCCCAGTGGAAGTAAGGAAGAGACTTAGGAATTTCATCTGTGGTACTCCATGCTTACTCTATTAGTATAACTCAGAGTGTTATTTTCTCCTTTGGGGAGTACAGGGTGGGCCAGCTTTTACTACAGGGTTATAAGAAAACTTCAAACAGCAACCTGATGAGTCATCAGAGCAACGGCTCTTGAGGGTGTGATTTAATAAAGCCAATTCAGAGATTCTGTCAATTTCATAGACTTAGTGAGCTCTCTGAGGACTTACGAGTTAGCTAAATCAATTAGATGCTCCAGACAGGGAGTGCCTTTTGTCTCTTTTTAGGTGGCTGACATGGTGAGTTACTTGTACCTGACCCCCATAGGATGAGTCCTGTTGAAGCTGGCTTTCCAATAGTCATCTGCAGGGGAGGGGGTAAAGTTCCAGAAGGGAATGAGGTTTGATAGATTGGATTTATGCAGTTCCTCCATGGCCTGCCATATCCTGTATCTGACCTGCCTCGGGAGTACCTTCTGAGTGGAGCCCTACCAGAATGAAGGTAAACGTTAGCTATAGGACACAACCATACAAGCCTGGTGATATTTGAATAAGAAATTGGGAGAGCAGTGGTCATCAAAGCAAACAGCGCTATAGGTGCCAATGGGTGCTCTAAGAGTGGTAGAAGGCCCTACATCCACCACCCTGCTAGATGGTCAGAGGGTGATAAAACCCTCTCCTGTAGGGAGCTCCGGGTGTAGCTTCTGAAAGGTGGTTGATAAGAAAACAATTCTTAGTAGCTGATGGGGGTGCTAGTGAAATTTTATCTGGAAATTCCAGGACAGGCACAGGGCTCTTCACCTCTCCTAA